GTATGAACTTGATATTGCACATCGGACAGGCAAGGAACATGTGGTTTCGGATATGATATCCCGGAGTGTACCGATTATTGCTGGAGTGACTTCTACGGACCATTGGTTGGCAAGGATGATTCAATTACTCGAGAAAGAACCTTTATCATATCCAGGGGGCAACATCTGGTCTTTTGGTTTACGGCGATTCGTCAGAGTGAAAAAAAGTAAAAGGCCTTGATTTTAGAAGTGAGATTTTAAAGCAATGTCTTGACAAACCGTCATCAGTCCATATGGGTGTGAAAAAAGACTTTTGCGCGGGTTTCAAAAAAGTTCTACTGGCCAAGGATGAAGTCGTACATTGCAAAATAAGGGGGTGTAAAACTTGTCATCATGTGAAACCAGAAAATTCACAACCAGAGCGCCGATGGAGAGGTCCAAGGCAGTCGAGCCTTGGGAGATGATTTGCGTAGATCTAGTAGGGCCTTCAATGAAGCCGTTACAAGGCTACCAGTATATTTTAACCGTAGTGGATAACTTTTCCAAATTATCCCTCCTATAATCCTTTGGGTACTGCCACGACAAAAAGCGTATGCAAACATTTGATAGAAAATTTATTTCTTTGGTTTGGAGTTCCTCGGCCGGTTGTGTGTGACGATGGGCCCTGATTTAGAAGTCGAGAGCTTCGGGGTCTCTGCGGTGACTATGGCGTTTAACTCCGGTACACCACACACTATCACACAGAGGCTACTCCGCTGCATTAGGGCAGCGCAGCACGAAATCGAGATGTACAGTACATGCCAGGAGAGTTAGTATGGAGGCGAAGTTTCATGAAACGAAATTAGCCCCAAAGTATGTAGGGCCGCTTATTGTTAGTAAGAGAGTGTCACCGTGGACATACATACTGACAGATAACTTAGGCAAAGACAAAGGGATTTGGAACGTTAAGTAAGATGCCATATAGGGACTAATAGGATACAGTACGATAGTTCCGTCTCTGACCAAAAGGAAGATTCTTTCCTTTTCGTTGAGGAAGGGGTGGAGTTGTCATGTACTGGCCGCAACATTGGTGTTTGCCTACCCAGTGGTATAAGTCTCCATAGGGAGGTGTTCCCCAAAACGGCTCCTCCACTAACAAATATTAGGGAAACGGAATGCTTTGCGCGGGTATTCAGCAAAAAGGAGTGTCGCTTTTTTCTTTAAAGCGGCGAGTGGTATGCCATGGTGGCGTGCGCTATACAACCTGGTCCCTTTGGGTAATGGGGGAGGCTCCAAATGATTGAGCACCAAAACACGCTCGCAGGAGAATTTTGAAGGCCGATGCGTAGCTTGCCACCTGGCTCGTAAGTGCGTGCCGGATCAGATTCTTCAAATCTACAGAACGATGAAAATTCCTTTTATGCATGCATGCGAGTGGTTTTTTTTCGTGATGAAAAACTTTAGTTGAACGGAGATATAATAACAGCTTGTAACCCCCAGTCGTAGAATAATAAATAAGCGATGCAAACACACCTACGCATGATCTATGCCTTTATCTAAATCTTACCAATTTTTTAGCAAACTGTCGGTAATCCCTTTCCCGAAACTAAATATTTATATTCTATATTCCGCCACAGTTTACACTAAGCCGCTTCAGAACGGCTGAAGGTTTTTCATAAGAAGCTTTTATTTCATGTCAGAAGTACCATCGGAGGGGTTGATATCCCCTGTCGAGGGGTGACTGCAATTAAGAAACTTAGCTTAATTTTTTATTTAAAACAACTTTCTGTTGCTTTTCGGATGTAAGTATGACATCCGGATTTGAACCGAGGCCTTCCCGATGCCAGTACATAATGCTAACCACTCGGCTACCGCGGCCGTCGTGGGAATACCCTTCTAAATATGGCATATAAGTTTCTATCGAGCGTATTGTGTTAGAGACTAGAGCCCACCATCAGCAAGCTGAATGGACCTTATAAGTGTAGGTCTAGACCTGTCAAATCCACCATTCACCAGATATTCACCATCTGCCAATTCTTGGAAAAGACTCATGAGAAAAGAATCGATAACCATCACACTTTAATGATTTTAAACAGTAAGAATCTGATCCTACCTTGCTATCTCTGAATTTTTCATTCCCTCATCGTTCCCGTCCTGCTATATGGTGCGGAAGCATGGATGATGACAGTATCCGATGAGATGGCGTTAGGAGTTTTCGAGAGGAAGATTTTGCGTAACATTTATGGGCCTTTGCGCTTTGGCAACGGCGAATATCGCAGAAGATGGAACGATGAGCTTTACGAGTTATACGGCCACATTGATATAGTTCAACGAATCAAGAAGCAGCGACTACGCTGGCTAGGTCATGTGGTCCGGATGGATGCGAATACTCCAGCTTTGAAAGTTTTCGATGCAGCATCCGCCGGCTAAATCAGAGGAAGACCTCCACTCCGTTGGAAAGACCAGATAGAGAAGGCTCTGGTAATATTTGGTAGTTCCAATTGGCGCCAAACAGCAAATAGAAGAAATGCATGGCGTACAGTTGTAAACAGGCAATAATCGCGTAAGCGGTGTCTACGCCAGTAAAGTAAGTAAGTAAGTGCTAAGCTTATACGCTTCGATACCAAACGAGGTGCGATTTCTTCAACTTGATGCTAGACAAGGCACAGTCTTTTACAAGAGTGTACATCTTCTGGCGTACGACTTTTTCGTTTTGCCTTTTCCAGGCGTGATAAAGAAGCTAAGAAGAACAAGAATACAATTCGGCCCCTGAGTAGCGCACCTATATCAGGGGTGTATCTGCTGGGCAACTTATAACTGGAAGAACGTATATATTGAATATTTCGAGCTCGACATGGCCTGACCGGATAGCTATGCCCTGACATTCTTGGGTAGTATCTCTGCGGTCGATGTCGCCATCGATAAGACGATACTGTACGACTCTCACGACAGCTGGTTCTACGCAAAGGGTCGTCAATTTGTCACAAGCGGAAAAGTGGGAGGAGCACCTAAGAACTTGCAACCTCTCCTCTGGGGCAACCGAGCTTTGGGCTACAGTCAAGTTGCTGTCTAGCCCGACAAGACGTGATGACCGGGTGGAAATTTCATTCGGTGATCGCGCTTCGTCGGACCCGAAGAGATGCGCGAACTATTTTAGCCGACTTTTCACACTGCATCCCTCAGTAGACGAAGCCAAGCGACGTGTAACCTGCCGTAAGCGCAAACTGCCAAACACCAGGGCGGTGATTAATTTCTCCAAGGGGGAGGTTCAGGCCCCGACTGTATAAGCATGCTGATGCTGAAACATTTTGGACCAGCGGGAGCAGAATTTCTCACGAGGGTCGTCAATTTGTCTCTGACCACCCCAAAGATACCCGATGTGTGGAAAATGGGTAGGGTGGTCCCGCTACTCAAACCGGGGAAACCCGCCAACTACGGAGAGTCCTATCGGCAGCCGCCGGGGTTGCAGAGGTGGGTCATGGGCTACCTGAGTGGTAATATTCCGAGGTGTAACATCTAAACCCAGGAAAATTAAACAGGGGGCTCCGCAGGGTGGCGTCCTCTCCCCGCTACTGTTTTATTTCTACATCTCCAAACTCCCTCCACCACCAGAAGGAGTTTCTCTAACCTCTTATGCCGATGACTGTACGATAATGGCGTCTGGCCAGGATAATGATGACCTCTGCTCGAAAGTGAACGTCTACCTCGCTGATCTTTCCCACTTCTTCACTGCACGACAGCTAAGAATACAACCGATGAAATCCTCGGCTACCCTCTTCACCAGCTGGGCGAAGGAGTACAGGCTTGAACTAGATGTGAAGGTCGATGACACAAAAATACCGACAAAAAGTAACCCAAAAATATTCGGAGTAACACTAGACAGCCTGCACTTCACATACGACCGCAATTTCCCCAAAACTCCAGAGCCGCAACAAAATACTCAAAGCGCTAGCCGTCAGCACCTGGGGTAAAGACGAAGAAACTTTGCTGGCTACTTATAGAGCAATTGGCCGGCCGGTCGTAAACTATGCTGCACCTATCTGGGAGCCGGGGACGAACAAGAGGCAGATGAAGAAGCTACAGGCTTGCCAGAACACCGCCCTCAGGACCGCGACAGGAAACCTCCTGATGTCGCTGGAGGATCACTTGCACAGCGAAGCATCTACGCTACGAGTTAGGAAGCATCTACGCTACGAGTTAGGAAGCATAATGCTTTGCTTTGCAAGCAGTTCCTATTGGGATCACTCCCGCAGTATTCCCCGACTTAGACTGATCAAACCTGTGCCTAAGCGGGGTTAGCGGACCGCTACAACAACAACAACAACAACATCAATGTGCAAACAGTGAGATTAATTGTTTAAATTGTTATTATTATAACTTAGTGCATTTTCTTTGTATATGATATATGTGTTCCTTACCTTACTTACTCTTTTATTTGGAGCTCATCTACATGGCGAAGAGTCATGCAGTGATAGTGGAAACCATGATATTTTTTATTATTATACTTTGAAATAGTCTACAATACATTAATTAAAAAATTGCTATCTCAAATATATTTGGTTTTGTTATTCTTGTCTGTGATTTTTGCATATTTTGTCAAGCTGAGATGTAACCCTTCCTTCAATTCGAAATTTCTTCCTTAGTCAAAGTATAGCAATTTCACAACCAAATTATATGCTGTTACATCTAACACTCGATTACTTTCCTGTTTTAGAATAAGCCCTTGTAATTTTTTAAAAATGTAATTACATATTTGTACCCAATTCATAGAATATATAAATTCGTCCGAATGGTATTGCCGAGCTGTTGTGTGCCATCTGCCAGAGTATTTCCATATTTAGTTTTATCTGTGTGACTTCTTCGCATCAATGCAGTAGTTGTTGAAACATTTGTTATACTGTTATTACTTTGTGGTTTTTACTTTTCTTGTTGCCGCAATTTTAGTTATATAATTAATAAGTTAGTAAGTAAAATTTATCTTAAAGATAATAAATATAATAATATCATTTGATGAATGTTATATCTAAACGGTTTTTTTTTAGCTCGGATACCTGCTCGTTTAGTACTTTATTTTTTATCATGGTCTGGTTTTCTGATATCTTTTATGATGCGTAATGATATGAACTTTGCCTTGGTGGCAATGGTAAGTTCATTAGAGAATTCAAATTCATCTGACATAGCTTACCCGAGTATTAACCAAACTCTGTGGGCTGGTTTCGATGATGCCAATAACAAAGTAACTGTGAAAAACTCAACAATGGTAATGCTTTTTAATTGAGGAAGCTGAAGTTAAATATCTAATTTTATTATTTTTATTTTTACTTTCAGAACTCAGAATATAATGATGACTTATATGATTGGTCCAACACTGTAAAGTCAATAATACTAAGTTCTTTTTACTGGTGTTATGTGGTGTCCCAAGTTGTCGGTGGAATTGCCACACAATATCTTGGTACAAAACGAGTATTCGGTTGGTCCCAATTCGCAACTGCATTATGCAGTTTACTCATTCCTTTTAGTGCCGACTTGCATCATTCCGCTGTGATAATATTACGATCAGTACAAGGTTTCGCATCAGGTTTAACTTGGCCGGCGATGTACGCAATGGTTGGCTATTGGATTCCATTGGCCGAAAGGTCGCGATTTATGTCTAGTTTTCAAGGATTTAGCATAGGTATCGGATTAACATACCCACTATGCGGATTTATAATTGACAACTTTGGCTGGCGATATGTTTTTTACACTACCGGATCGTTAGGTATAAGTTGGTGCATATTGTGGTACTATCTGGCCTATAACACACCAAAGGAACATCCCCGTATATCTGCTGAAGAAATTGAATATATTGAAGCTAGTGTTAGCTCCGAAGCAAAAGAAGCATGTGGAATGAAAGTTCCATGGATGTCAATTTTCACATCCCCGCCAGTATATGCGATTGCTATAACAACATTTGGCCGCATTTGGATTCATTATATATTCATTGTTTGTGGCCCAAACTTCATGAAAAATGTGCTCAAGTTCAATTATCAAGCCAACGGCTTTCTATCTGGCATGCCCTTTATTTGCTCTTATATTTCATCTGTGCTATTTTGCTACATCGCGGACAAATTGATGCTGAGCGATTGGATGACTCTTACACACGTTCGTAAACTTTTCACCGCTGTGTCACAGGTTGTCCCTGGCATTCTGATATATTGGATAGGTTATATTGATCACAATATTATATTGTTATTGGTCATTTGGTTTGTGGCAGTTACGTTTATAACAGCTTCATATGCTGGTGCAATGGCTAATATTGTAGATATTGCCCCAAATTTGGCTGGGCCAGTCCTTGCATTTTGCCAAACGATTCATATGACGGCTTCTTTTCTATCCCCGTTGATGTCAGGTGTAATTGTTACAAACGAGGTATATGGCTTATTAATTTTAGTTGTAATTTTTTGATATTTCATTTCTTTGATTTTTCAGAGTTCAATTGAGCAATGGCGTAATGTTTTTGCTGGATCATCAGCAATCGCTGTTTTGACTTACGGTGTATATCAAATATATGGAACAGCAGAAATACAACGTTGGAACTACCCACAAGCTCAAATGGATGGTTCCGCAGAAGAGAGCGAAATTCTTAAAAAGAGGAATGATGACTGCATGCTTAAAGATGACGTGCAGACAATCTAATTGTAAATGTAATTAACCAACTAAAAACTCTTTTATATTTTTTCTATCACTTCATTTATAAGCTTTAACTTATTAGTATATACGTATATGTCTATATTATATGTATTTATGTACATATATCCAGATAAAAAGTTTTAAACACATGTACTTAGGGTTTTCTATATTACTCATCTACAAAAATCTTAAGTTCGGTTGTATGAACGATTGACAGCAGAAAAACTATTCTTTTTCATCAGGATATATACCAGGAACCGACCCATTCCTTAAAATCGTTAGTTTAGCAGGAATACTATCCTTTTTTCTGGGATCTGCACCAGAGAGGTAAATTCAGTAATGTAATAAAAAGATATTTAATATTTTGACGATGTTGACGATAAAAAAAAACCTTAAATAAGCCTAAATGATGCTTTTTGTATATCTATATGCTTAGTTGAAATTAGCAGTACACTCTATGTTTTGTGGGAAATAAAGTAAAAGTGGTAAAAAAATTTTCACCACTAGCGCTAATCAATAAGGATTTAATAGTTTACAAAACGAGTTTAGTCTTTTTCGATATTTTAAATTATATCTCCAAATTTGTATGTCTTCACTATTCTTTCATTGTCGGTCGCAATTATTTAAAATGTCAAATCCAAAACACAATTCAGAAGAAACCAATTCAGTTACTACGTTTATTCCAGGTCTATTAGATCCATGTCATAGCTCTTAATTATTTCTGCACAATAATTTCTTTTATATCTGCAATGATGAAGGCGGTATACTTTAATATTATCTATTTTATTATATAATTGTATTTTAGTTACACAACTAAATTTATTTTCAATAAAATTTTGTAAGACACTTGCGGCGGAATGCCGTAATATCATAGAATGCATGATGGTTAAAAAAGAACACAGCTCTCACTGTATTATTATTAAAAAATACATGAAGGACTTCCTCATAAAAAATAAGTAAAAAATTTTGCTGCTGTTATTTTCTTACAAACAATACTATATCTTGAATTAAAGATATACTGTTAAATTTTGTTACGCTTTCTCTTAATGATATTTTTTCTGTCTAGGTTGTGTGTAATATTATTACAAAATACATGAGGGACTTCGTCGTATAAAATTAGTTAAAAATTTCCTGCAGTTATTTTCTTACAAACAACAATACATCTTGAATAAAAGATATAATTTTGACACGCTTTTCTGTTAATGGTATTTTTTTCAGTTCAGGTTGTACGTAGGGTTTGGGAGCCACCACATGAAAATCAAATATGCCTCGGATGAGAGAACCCTTCATTGATGACGATTAAGGATTTTTAAGGACATGCACCTGAAATATCCGGTCTCTTAATTGGGAAGTTGACGCTGCCCAGTTGGTTGATGTCCTAATAAAATTAAATGCTGACAGCGGCGCAAATTTGGTGTTGGTTTCGTGGTGGGAGAGAGACTCAGTAGCTGAGTACTGGCATTCACTCCGGCGGATGATCGCCCCGTCACAATTCGCATCAAAACGAAATTTTTTAACACCACTCTGATTTGCGCGCCCGTGCCCGGGGGAAATGAAGGAAAGCATGCCTTTTATGAGCGCCTAAAGCCTACTTATGAGCGCTGCCCGCGCCACGACGTCAAAATTGTGCTTGACAACTTCAACGCCTGGGTGGGCAAAGAAGGTATTTCAAGGACCACATACGGGAAATTTAGCCTCCAAGACGAAACATTCCCAAAAAGGGGCTGATAATGATCTGCTTAGCCTGGCTCCGAAATATGGTTTTCTGTTCCAGCACAAGAAAATTCACCAAGCTGTCTAACGCCCGTCAACAAGCGCAAGGAAGATTCAACGTTCAAAAGCTACAAATCACAACAGACTGCCGAACGGTTTTCGACTTGACTTGCGCTCCTCCTCTCTGAGACCATTCATCAGTAGCCCATCAGAGAGCTGAAGAGGGAAGCAATACGCCTTTGCAGGGAAAAAAGGAGAGAGGTCGAACAGCGTGAGTATGAATAGGTTGAGAATCTGGTCGACAAGGTAATACACGAAAAGAAACGTCGACTTCCGGAAGGATTCAAAACCGTAGCAAACTGTTGTAGGACCCAGAGGGGTGAGCTAGTGAAGGATGCCCAGAGTATACTGAATTTACGGAGGGGCCAATTCTCCAATCTGCTGAATGGCAGTGAAAATGAAATACCCGGAGGTGGTGAACCTGAAACACCAATTGATGACGATGGAAAAGCTGTTCCGTTACCCAATTAAAAATAAGTCTGAAACTGACGAGCTCCGGCAGAGCTTTTCAAGCATGGGGGTGAAAAGCTGGTGGTGCATTCACCAGCTTTTTTGCAAAATATGGTTGGATGGAAGCATGCTAGACGATTGAAACCTAAGTGTGCTCTGTCCAATCCACAAAATATTCACCATGCGCCAAATTTTGGGAAATACTCGTGGAAAGAGAATCGACACACCTCACCTCTTCCTCGATTTTAAAGCAGCCTTTACAGCATACAAAGTAGCTGCCTCTATGCCGCTGTGTGTTAATTTGGTATCCCCGCAAAACTTAAAAACGTTGGCGCCTTGGCTCCCAAGTCACTGTTGACAGTCATAACTTCGAGGTCGTCAAAAATTTCGTCTCTAGGGTCTTGTGTTAACACCAATAATAATGTCAGCTTTGAAATCCAACCTAGAATAACTCTTCCCAACATGTGCTACTTTTGATTAAATATTTAATTGAAAAGTCCTCTCTCGGCGAACGAAAACCAAACTCTCCAAGTTGCTCATCATACCCGTCCTACTAAATGTGTGTCTGATGTCTACACCTGATAAGTCGGCATAAGAAGTCTTTTGCGAACGATTTATGGTCTTTTGCGCATTGACAACGAATACTTGAAACGATGGAACGATGAGCTGTACGAGCTATATGATGATATTGACATAGTTCAGCGAATAAAGAAACAGCGGCTACGCCGGCTAGGTCATCTCCTCCAAATGGTTGAAAGCACTCCAGCTTCGAAAGTATACGATGCAGCACCCGCTGGTGGAAGCACTCCGTTGCAACGATCAGGTGGAGAGTGACCTGGCCTCACTTGGTATTTCCGACTGGCGACAAACAGAGCAAGAAAAGGGATGAATGGTGCGCTATAATTAATTTGGCTATAATCGCATAAGCGGTGCCAACGACAATAATGAAGAAGAAGAATAAGGTAAATTCAAAGAAGTCTTTTTAAGAAAACAATTTAAACAATGTCCTCTTTTATATAGCAATATATTATTTTTTAAACGGCGGTGCCAAAGGTTTTTGAATTACGATCAATACAAACCATTGTAGTATATGCGAGCATTCAAGCAATGGATGCATATTACCGATATCATAGCATGGCCATTTGATTCAACCACCTACACGCGCGCACGGCGTATCTTATAGCTGCATCTCCCTGTTACATTATAAACCTAACTTTATCGTGAAAATAATAATTAAATAAAAAATTAATTACTTAAAGTGTTTGTGCACCCAAGTGAAGATAAACATATTTTTTTTTTATTTATCTCGGCTAATTGGCACCAGACTCAAGGCAAGTTAACTACCGAGGAATTTTTGGTAAATAAACATATTTAGTTAAAGTCAAAAAGAAAAGTTAACTGAGTGCGTACATCGGAAAACGTCTACGAAATATAGACACAACATTTGCAAGTTTCAGTTCGTCCTCTGAAGACACCGAAAATAAATATCATGAGAAGTGTTGCAACTGTGAGAATACTCTCGACTGGTGTCACAATTTAAAGAGTATGGAAATTTAACCCAAAAATGGAGAAAATTCAACGAAATATGTTCTTCAACGCAAATGGTAGTGGAAAATGCATTTGGACTGTTGAAAGAACGTTTCCGAAGACTGCTTAGTTTAACAAAAACAAACACATTTGAAGGTGACTACCAAAAGAATGTGTGTTGTAAATAACATTTGCATTACTTTTGACGATTTTCGCGATGTCAATGAAGCAAACGATAAGGACAAACGAACTTTCTTTGTTCTAAAAGAGCAAATGGAGGAGTCAAGCTTGCCGTGCGAGCGAAGTTTTCAAATAATAAAAAAGCCGTTGACAAATAAGTCTGATTAGAAATCGTGGTTGTTTCCGAAGTAGCAGCTATAACTTCGTCCAAAACTGTTATTGTAATGGTCAGACATTTCCATAAAACTTGAAATCAAAAACCTTTTTAATTATTAAAAAAAAAAAATTATATTAAAAATACAGTATTTTTATATGATGATATGAGGAGCAGCTATCCTTTGAATATATTTGGTTTCAAAGCGCTAAATAAATCTCTAAACTAAATAACTAAGATCGGTTGTTGCGTTGTTTTTCTCGACTGTTGTTTTAAAAAGCAATACGGCAGTTTTAAGCAAAGAAACTACAGCATTGCGAATGCTGTTGCTGCAAAGTCAATTAAAAAGATTATTCAAATCTTCATACGTGCAATATTACATGTATTGTACATTTGCATTATGTAGCTACTTAGGTATGTAACAATATACACATTAATTGTATGTAACAGTTTAGTTTAATAGTCATACAAAACTCGTGCGATATATCAAATGTTTAATAGCTAGTCGTGACGGTACTAACATATTACCGTTTTTTAGTTTTTATCAGCCGAAAGCAAGAGCGATAGCAAAACGATCCTGCTCTACTGCTTAATTTGGTCTCACTGCTCTAGGGTTCACAGCAAAGCGACAGTCGCAGTCATTGTTTTTACATGAAAAGCGTACCAAAATGTTGAAGTCTGCCAAATATTGTTTTATGGCAGATTTTAAGAATGCAGGGTTGCATTGTAATAATGCGGTTGCGTTTTGGAACTCAGTTTACTTTAGTGCCGCTATGCACATTTTGACAATCAAAGAAGAAACAAAACTAAATACTTGCAAGTGTTAATTATGGAAGCAAATGAATAGCAGAAAATTGCTGTTGCTGTTCAAATGTTAGTTGTAGTACTTAGCTTAGAAGGTTTTACATTTTAAAGGGGAATGTGGGGAAATGTTGTGTTTCTTTTTACTTATCGTCTTTGTTTTACAGGTTGGATTTGGTGGTTAAGGTAAAAATCGTATTCGAGCTAAAAAGCAAGTGTAACTAAAATCCGTATACATCTTCTTCGTAAAGTATTAGTAAAGTAACAGTTTTTTATATAATTTTACACGAAATGAATGGGGATAACGTTGATGAAACACGTGACTCGTCACTTCTCCATTTTAAATACCAGCACACAAATCAGCAAATATGAGGTATTCGAGGTATAAATAGTGAAGAAGAAAATTTTCATCATGCGGTTTCTCTCATCGTCCGGAGTCGAAGTGCAAGATATAACTCTGCTTCCCCCGACATCTACGGCTTATTCGACGCTGACACATAATCTCATCGAGGGTTAACAAAATCGAAAGATGCCAAGTTGCCTGAGTTGCTGGACGGTGAGCAAATTGGGGATCACACCTAATCGCAATTCCTTCGTCATCTATGCAACTTATGCCCTGACGTGCCACATAACATGCTAAAAACAAGGTGGTAGTCTCACCTACGTGCACAAACACGTGCCAGTCTCGCTGTGCAGCTAAACGCATCTTTGGAAGACCTTGGCCGCCTTATCGACAAAATATGTAAGTGAGATGATGCCAGGTGGAACACACTCCATTGCCGCTATCTCTCAGGCTCATTTGGGTTAATAGTGGCGTTGAATGGCTGTCATACAAAATCGCGCCACATATTCTTTATAGATCGTACTTCTGTAATACAATTTCTTGTGGACACAGATGCTGATATTTCGGTACTTCCATGCTCTCAAATTAAGTCAATTTTAACTTCGGTTGGCAGCTGTATTCAGCGTCAGCGTAAATCATTGAAACATAGGGTTATTCCGTGCTCACGATCAACTTCGGTTTGCGCCGCGATTTTACTTGGCGATTTATTATCGTCGATGTCTCTAAGCTCATTATCGGGGCGGACTTTATTAGCCACTTTGGTTTAGTAATGGATTTAAAATACAGTAGAATCAGTGACGAAAGTAGGTACTACTTGCACCGTCCAAATGGAGCAAACTCCTCCAACTGTTTCAATAAACGGTACTTGTGGCGAATCACCTTATATGTAATTAGTGAAACAATTTTCTTCCACCACTAAGCCTGTTGCAGCATTCCAATTAATGAAGAATGCCACCGTGTATCACATCAAAACTAATAACGGCCCGTTGATTTCAAGTAAAGCGCGACAACTTGTGCCTCATAAACTTAAAATAGATAAAGAGGAATTCGCGGAAATGGTAAAAGCGGGCATCGCTCGTACATCACATAGTGGTATAGTCTTCACCACAACATTTAGCACTAAAAGGTCTGGAGAATAACGACCGTGCGATGACTATCATCGTCTCAACGATAGAAATTTCCTTATCGATATATAGATCTAGTAGGAGCGTTCAACCAAATCCCGGTTACGAGCGAAGAGATTTAAAAACCGCTATAATCACGCCATCCGAGTTATTCGAGTTTCCATTCAGGTCCTTGGGCTAGAGAAACGAAGGCCAAATATTTCAACGTTTTATTGACAAAGTTACTCGCGACCTGCCTTTTGTTTTTCCGTACATCGAAGACCTTCTTATTGCTACACATATCGATCGCTAGTATCTTGAGCATCTTTAAACGCTTTTTCAATGACCTCAGGATTTTGGCTTGGTAATCAATACGGCTAAATCATGTTTTGGCCACCCAATAACGTGTAATGGAATCAAGCCACTATCTAAAAAGGTCAGAGCCATAAGAGAGTTGTCACTACCAACAATAGTAAAAAACTTCGTGGATTTCTCGGAATTATATCGAAAATTCACAAGGAACGGCGGGGTATTACTAGCTCCATTCAACGAAGTCATTTCTGGTACCAAGATCAAGAGTACACAACAAATACGCTAGACAAATGAACTTCGAAACGCTTTCGATCAGTTAAAAGAAGCTTTATCGAATTGCGAAGAATTACGAATAGCTCACACAGACGTTGGCGCAGAATTAGCCATATTTACAAACGCATCCAATTTTGCAATCGGTGCTGTACTGCTAAGTAGGTTTTGGCAACCTCTTGCGTTATCAGTCGAAGGCTTTCAGTATCCATCAGTAAACTCTTCACGTATGATCGCGAGCTCCATGCGATATACGAGGCTGTTAAATACTTCCGATATATGTTTAAGCGTCGGCATATAACTATTTAAAATGACCACAAGGCGTTGCAGCAAGTTTGTGAGCAGCGAGAAGAGCGTGCTTCTCCTAGGCAGTGGATAAGCCAGTTCACAATAGACATTAAACACGTACGTGGGGAAACTAACATCGTAGCAGACACGTTCTCACGCGTCGATACCATTTCCATTCCTTACCGTCGCGCCGAGAAGAGCAATATTTGGTTCACTGCACTCTCTATATCATTCGGAAATACGATGCTTACAAAAATTGGTGACGAACAGATATATATGGCCCCAGATCCATAAAGATTTTCGTATTTGGGCGCGAGTTTGCATCGAGTGTCAAAGAAATAAAGTACAGCGTCATGTCGTTATTCCTATTGCCAATGCAGCGTTTCGAGCACATTCATTTGGACCTAATATCATTACCTTCAGTGAGAGTATACCGTCAATGTCTTACCATAAGAGATCGTTGCACGCGTTTTCCTGAAGAAATACCACTAGGAAATGGCAATATGGAAATAATCAAGCGTGCCACTCCAAATAACTTTCGATCGTCGTGGACAACTTAAATCAGCTCTGCTTCGCAAACTTGCTGATTTATTTGGAATTCCTCGTGTAAAGACTAAACCCTGTCATCCCCAAGCCAACGGACTTGTAGAAAGATTGCATCGACAATTAAAATCAGCCTATGTCACAAAGAAGCTTGGTATGACGCGCTTCCAATAGTTCTCATGAGTTTACGAGCATCGTAAAAAAATGACATTTCAACGACACCGGCTGGTGTCTCAAGTGCGTCAAGGACAAACAGAGCCATCTTTTAGTGCCTCACACCAAGGACCATATCGCGTCTTATCGTGACACGTTACACCTTTCTATATCGAAATACAAGGACAACGTACTCCCGTCTCAGTAGACCGTCTCAAACCTGTCTTCGAAGCATCGACCGAAAAACAAATCACCACAACAACTAATAATAGGAAAACAACAAGGCGTGTTCTTTTGGCAGACGATTCGTAACCTATTTAGACGATGAAAATTTATGATTATATAAACTAAGTTAAGCCTATCATTGTTACATTTTTTTTATTTGATTTTAAAACTAAAGAAAACACAACAAGGGGAGCTGAGTGGCATACTTGCTACTCTACTGAACCAATGGCAGCTCTTTCTCGGACTGGAAATTAACTTTAAGCCTCTCAGTGGAAAAAGAGTAGTATTGTTGTAATGCCTTTAGTAGTTTGATATTTCCTTCACAAAACGGAACCTTGATAATTCTGTTTTCGCTACATATATATATATATTCATTTTCAAGTGATAATATTCTTATTATCGGGGTGTGATGGTGTATAGGGTGTATAGGGTGTAGTAAAGCTTCTGGTTATGCTGTTACATTTGCGAAGCTGTACTCTTGCGTCAACATTGCGCTCCCTGGAAGAGGAGCAATCCTTGTGTAACCAACCCGTGTAGAGGCTTGGGTCACGGCTAACGAGAGAGGAAGTTTCAGTGAAGCCACTCCAACTTATTCGGTTTAAGCGCACGCTGAAATCTAATTGCAGCGTCTGTTCATTAGAGGTGCGGCTGCGAGCGGGCATCGGTTTTGAAGCAAGCGGATCGCTATATAAATATGTACAAAGTTTAAACCTACTCGCTTAGCGAGGCTATGCGCTAAGATAATAACGCCTCGGATGAGGCCCCTTTCTGTTGACGATCACCGCAAAAGAACAAAGGGACACGATTTGAGGGCATTCACCTGCAATGTCCAGACGTGCTTGGCTAATTTAATGCCACAAAGACACCTTATTTGGTACGACTGTTGGAAAAGTCAGTCAAGGTCTTCCCATTTGAGGTGCGTACGGTCTTATAAATTGCCATGAGAAGCCGTTGATTGCGTATTTACTGATGACATCCATTGAGACTTCGCTACAAACGCTTTAATTGATTTGCAACGAGCAAATGCTGCTTTAAAAGCTACTGCGCCTGGGTCAGAGGAAAGTTTGAGATGTAACAACTTTGTGACGAAGCACACAAAGTCGCAGACGTATGGCTTGAAACAGGATGTTCGTTGAAGCGTTGATGTTTTGACGAGAGCATGAAAATATACAAGAAGCTTCTTGGCTGTCCCCCGATCGAAAAACAAAAAACCAGGACCCAACATCGCTTTGGACCACTATCTTGTTGCAGCGATTAAGCACATGCCCATCTGTATATGAAGAACACAAGGAAAGTTCCACGTCGAAAAGCTGCAATCACAACAGGCTGTCGAACGACTTTCTACTCGACTTGCACTCTTGTTATTCGAGAGCACTCATCAGCAAACGTACAGGTGCAGACGAGACTAATGAATTTTGCAAAGTTCGCAAAAACAGCTGGTACGATAAGGACTGCCGTGTCGCAGTGGAGCGAAAACAGACTGCTTACCGCGCAAACTTGCCATCGACTACAAAAACTCAATCATGTCATCTAGCCACCGATGCCCAGAGCACTTTGAACTTATGGAGGGAACTTTTCTCCAGTCTTCTAAATAGCAGTTCGGGTTCACCTTAACACCAATCGATGACGGTGGAAAAGACCGGCGAAAAGAGGATCGACACACTCCACCTCTTCGTCGGTTTTAAAGTCGCCTTGGATAGCATGAACAGCAGCTGCCTTTACTCTGCTAAGTCTGATTTCGGTATCCCCGCAAAACTTATCGGGCTATGTAAACTGACCGCAAGCGACTCTAAAGGCCCAGTCAGGATCGGGCGGACCTCTCCGAGTCATTCTTTACCAAACGAGATTTCAGACAAGGAGACTCTTTATCGTATGATTTCTTCAATTTGATGCTGGAGAAAATAATACGAGCTGCAGAGCTGAACAGAGAAGAGACAATCATCTATAAGAGTGTACAGCTGCACTGGATAAGAAAGCGAAATGTATGGGTTTGGCTGGAAACGAGAAAAAGGTGAAATTCTCCCTGTTATCAAAGAAACAGTCATTGTATTCGCGGCCCGGCTCCCACGTAACTTTCAATGCACAGATAATTTCGTTTATCTTCGAACCAGTATTAATACCAACTACAATATGAGCCTTAAAAACCAACGCAGCATACTCATACCAACAGCCGATGCTTTGGACTGAGTAGGCAATTGAAAAGTAAAGTCCTCTCTCGGTAGGCGTGAGGAGTTTTTAAGAAGAAGGTTTTGTATGAGTTATAGGCGACATTGCCTTAGCTCAGCAAATTAAGAAACAGTGGCTACGCTGGCTAGGTCATGTGGTCCGGCAGAATAAAAATATTTCATCTTTGAAAGTTTTTGATGCATTAAAAAATGAATGGCGCATTAGTTCTGTTTTTATTCTTCAGCCAGAGTTAATACACTTTACTTCAGTGTTTTTTTCTCTCTCAAAAACAACACTTTGATTAAAAACACATTTCGTATTAAATAAGTAATTAGCTGACGTTATTAATAAAAGAAAAGATCTTTTAAAATACTTTGAATTTTTCACGCAGGAACTAGTCAAAATTACGAGATTGCGCTGTGATTATAAATTCAGTAATGCAATTGCTCTTGTTATGACAGATACGTCTATGCCATGAAAAACAATGCAAAAAAATAAATAAATAGCATACTGTTATAAGTAACGATCATGTACCAACCAGTGCCAAGCAAATTTTATACATTTTGAACATCACCAAAATTAAGTTTTTTCCAGCTGAATTGACCACCGGTTTAGTGCATTGCGAAGAAAATGACCTCGTGTGAGATTGGTGCAACAGCCTGAATTTTAAGTCAGCTTCAGTACGCACAATAAGAGTGGTGAGTTCCTCAAATGTAAACTTTTGGTGCCCTGCTATCTGCGTGAGGTGGACTTTAAAGCTTTTTACAGCTACTTCTCAAGGTCTTCCCATTTGAGGTGCGTACGGTCTTATAAATTGCCATGAGAAGCCGTTGATTGCGTATTTACTGATGACATCCATTGAGACTTCGCTACAAACGCTTTAATTGATTTGCAACGAGCAAATGCTGCTTTAAAAGCTACTGCGCCTGGGTCAGAGGAAAGTTTGAGATGTAACAACTATGTGACGAAGCACACAAAGTCGCAGACGTATGGCTTGAAACAGGATGTTCGTTGAAGCGTTGATGTTTTGACGAGAAATATGTAATTGGCGCTTTGCAACCGCTGAAGCGATTTTCCGCCGAGCCCCTCCTCCAATTTGAGAATTTGCGTTTCGATTTTTTTCTAACTAATGGAGGTACCTCCAGTTGATACTAAGCTGCTTCCGAACGACTGACGGTTTTTTTTATGAAGAGCTTTATTTCATGTCAGAAATACACTTTGAGGGGTTGACGAGAAATGGTCCAGCAAAATCAACGTCAGTAGTTTGGAAGGGTAGTGAATAAGATTCACGTTCAAGGGGTAACGCAGCCATCGTTAGGAACTTAGTTTTCTGAATGAATAGTGTGCAAGTTTTGCAATGAAATGTACAGGTTCTTAGGCGCGGGATTTAATACTCTTGTTGATCATTAGTTGCCGTTCCCCGTGAAGAAGTGTGCAGTGTAGGAAGGTCAGCGATATTCATTATAGATGAGCGCGGTGTGAGTGAGCCTACCATTCGCTCGTAATACACCTAATTTATCTAAAAAAAGGTTCAAAGTCAACAACGAGTCATTTTGGTCGATATGTTCTGCAGCGGAGATTGCTGAGCTGTAGTACTTTTGCTGATGACAAGCATATTTGCCAGGTTCATTTCTTCACAAGTTAAAGTTAACGAAGAGGGGGTAGGAATCCGTCTTGCCATATTTTTAAAACGGAGAGTGAAGGCTCTTAAGTAGGAGGATAACTAATCTAAGACATCAATTTTGTCTGTTTTTTTTTTTTGCTGATCTGGAGGAGCAGAGTATGCTGGGGCAATTTTTCTCCAGAATTCCGTACACTTGACTAACCAGTCAGGGTCCAGTCTACCAAAGAGAGCAGTTTACGAGGAGTTGGGGTTCGATACCACGCATACCTAGGATGATTGGGTTACTGGATGTGGCCACTAGTCGCAGTTCTTATATTCTAAAAGATTTGTGATATCCTTTTAGAGACATATGTCTTTCACGTTCATGAGGTTTTTTCTAGCCAGGCCAGCACAATGGAACAATCGAGTTGAGACTGAACTTGATTTATATAGCAAGGTCGCAATAACAAATTATGAATATTTAAGTTGCCATAAAAAGTCTGATGAAGAGATGTGGAGATCATTGAAACAGCTGTCACTTCTACCATTTTTCTTTTTTGCATAACAAAAATATTCAATTCATACAAAAAACCAGGCCTTGTAGTTAACTTAATACTTATATCAAAAATTACTATATAGCATGGCCGCAAAAACAAATTGTGAATATTTAAGTAGAACCTGATACCTAATCCTGCCTATACATTTTTCAATCAATTCACGCCTGAAATTCTAGAAGATTCCAACACAACTTACTAACCAAGTAACTAAGAAAATAACGGATAAATTATCGCTCTTAATATTGTAGTTGTTGGCTAATAATTGAATAATATAACAATAGATTATATGGCTGATGTTGGCACAGTGGTAGAACACTCGCTTGTTGAGTCAGGATCCGTTGGTTCGATCCCTGCCATAAAAAGTCTGATGAGGAGATGTGGTGATCTGCTTTAGTTTAATTAGTACTTATATCAAAAATTATTATATAGCATGGTCGCAAAAACAATTATGAAAATTAATTAAAAAAAGGAAATAGAATGATAGAATAAAAAAGCAAATAAATAAAATAAAATGAAGTAGTATTAAATATAAAATAAGGTTTATTAAAAAATAATACAAAATTTAATTTATCAGGTGTACAACTTCTCTTCCGCCGTTTTCCGATAGGGGGCTGTACCGGCTGAGGATGGTTGAAATACATAGATGATAGTGCTTTTAAAGTGAGTATGGACAGTGCCTAACGAATTGTCATCGCCGTTTCAGTGACAGTTGGTCTTGTTTTCGTATTATTCACGCTCGAAAATGTCCGTTTATGTGCCTTATTCTCGCCATTTGCGGGAAGTTTTACTTTTCTGTTACAGTTCGAAAAAAAATGCAGCTGAAGCTCATCGAATGCTCTCAGAGTGAAAGAACGTGTCGGGAGTGGTTTCATCGTTTTAAAAATGGTGATTTCGATGTCGAAGACAAACATGGTGGTGGAAGAGAAAAAACCTTCAAAGATGAACAACTAGAAGCATTGCTTGATGAAGATTCGTGCCAAACCATCACAGGAGATCGCTACCGAACGCAACTGATGCCCCTTACTCGCGCGCTAAAAAAAAAGCGGCCACAATATCAAGAGCGACATGACAAAGTCATCCTTCAACACGACAATTCTCGGCCTCACGTCGCAAAAGTGGTCAAAAAATACCTGGAAACGCTGAAATGGGAAGTCTTGCCCAACCCGCCGTATTCTCCAGATGTCGCCCCTTCTGACTTCCACCTATTCCGTTCGATGGCACACGGCCTGGCAGATCAACATTTTCAATCCTTCGAAGAATTGGAAAAATGGATTGCTTCATGGATAGCGTCAAAAGGGGACTCCTTTTTTCGAGCCGGGATCCGAAAATTGCCGGAAAGATGGGAGAAAGTTGTCGCTAGCGAAAGACAATACATTGAATAATATATCTGTATGCACTTTTTCGCAATAAAGCTTTTAATTTTGGAAAAAAAACCGCGGAAGCAAAGTGTTGCACCTGATGATTAAAAAAAAAAAAATAAATAAAATTAAATAAAATAGAGATACAAAATAAAATAAAATAAACAAAGTAGATAAAAAAATTTACATAATAGAACTAAGGCTAAGACGCGAGAACTCGCTTTATTGTGGTGGAGTTGGTATAAGCGAAGGCATAATTCGCACTCATTTGCAGCTCGAAGGATGAACATTTTCTTGTTTATGTAATTCTTACTTATAAACAATTAATTAAGCTTTTGTATACTCTTTAGGGTTTTTTCTCTAATTTTAAAGTTTCCCTGAATTGCTGTGTTTGCACGTAATCAAAATGACAAAAATAATAACAACAATTTGAGGGGAATGGTTGTCATAATATTTTTTCCGTTTTTGTTCATTTTTTATTTATTATACAATTTTTTTAATAATCCAACTTGATTTAGATGAATACCATAGTTATGTCATCTAGGCATGCATTATATACATTCATAAAAGCACATGCATAAGGGCTACATATAGCGCTCTATGCAAGATGAGTATTTCTTTACAGCAAATTGATTGTGAAATTGCATTTTACCAGTTTCCATCGGGTCGCGTCTTCAATTTCGACTAGCTCTCCACTGGGTCTTGTATTGTATTCTTGAAGTGAAATATTTCACGCTCGCTACGAGAACCTGAAAAAATTAGACTAGCTGGGCTTAAGGGCTTTACAAAACCGACGGTGGAGGAATTTTTGAAAAACTTGGTCAGTTTTATATACAGCCTCAACTATTGGCAGCCGCGCCAAAAATTTGCTTAGTGTTAGATAGATTATGTTGTAGTGGCTACCAATTTATCGAGTCGGATTCATTCAGGCCTGATTAAGACCCATTGTGGTGCCACAAAAACTTAAACCATCAAGTTTCATCCTCCATCCATTTTGAACTTCATTAGATCCATGACTTTGACGTCAGCTATATTCGATAGACAATTCAGCAGCAGGATTCCAAATCTCGCACTGCTTAAAGCAGGACAGTCGCATAAGAGATGGGTGATAGTTTTCTCCTCTTCGCCCTATTTGCAGCTTCTGCAGCATCTTCTGTAGGGTACCTCAAGTCTTTCCGCGTGTCGTCTTTTCAGAGAGTGGTCTGTCAGAACTCCAATTACTTTAGACATGTCACCTAATTTTATGGCCTACATATCTCGTGATCTTTTCCAGTCCCGTTTCGGCTATGTGGGCCAAGTTTTGCGATAAGTTATAATGTCATTCCACCTTGTAGTAGCTCATGTATCTCTGCAAATAGCAAAATACATACCAATGCGTTCTTTATCGTGAAGAATCTGCTTGGTCGTACATTACTAGAGATCGACAACAGTTCAGCACTAATTCGGAGTTTGCTTTAAGGGAGCCCTGTGCTTATATTGCTGTTCGACTATCACTGAAAATGAAGATATCCTCATCTTCAAAGTATGCTCCAATTGGCTTTTCAGCTTCCATGATAGCAGATATCTCCGCCTGGAAAACACTGCAATGGTCAGGTAGCCTGAACGAGAGCTCCATTGGATCGTTTTTTTTTTAAAAGACATATCCACTTATTTTCCTTTCAGGCTTTGACCAGTCTAATTTATCTAGTATTGTCTAGGTATCGCATAGATTTGACTCTCTTAAACATAGTGCAGTCATTGCTGCCGACTGTTATACCTTCAATTCCAGTGGAAAGATATTGAGTATCACGTTTAGGGCTTCTGAGTGCACCACTGATACACATTAACGCAGTTCTTCCTACTTCATCTATGATGTTAGCATCTTTGTATAATATTACCTTTCCAGCTAAGTTTTTTGTCTAATACGACTTCTAGAAATTTAGCTTCTGATCCCAGGCTAAGTTGAACGCCATGCAGTACTGGTGGGTTGATAGCGGGGATCTGGTATATTATTGTAAAAAGTACTAGCTCTACTTTGTTTGAGTTAACACCTATCTACCAATTCCTATCTACCCTATTCCGCTTGCATTAATAGTCATTAATAGCATACGAGTATCTTGATACTTCATAACCTTCCAAGTTTGCGTTCATAACCCTGCTGAGTAGCAGTTGGTTGATGAAATCCACTAATGAAGTGTTGAAATCTAAAATCAACAGACCAGTAGTAACTGATCTTGGTATGATGTTATTAAAAGCCCCTTCCATATCTATGAAGACAACAAGGCAGAAGAATTGCTGGCTATAGAGTAGCAATGAAGGTCTAGTCTATATAGCGTAGTATCAGACGGTTTTCTCTTCTGATAAACTTGCTGATCATTTGAGAGTAGCCTTCTTTCCATGGTTCAAAAGAGATAATTAACTATTATTCTCTCTAGGGGCTTAAGCCCTAGACATTAGACTAATCGGCCTGAAGTCCTTAGGGTAACTGTGAGGACCTTTATCTGATTTAGGAATGAAGACGACTGGTACCAGTCAGTGGGTTATAGTTAAGTTATAAGCAGACCATATATATAGCTTTGAGCCATCTTGTAGGTATCCCCCAGCTCATTTGTAGCTGTACAGGGAGGACACCGTCAACAAGCCCTTGGAAGGTTCTACGTTGACAAGCTGCAATCACAGCAGACTGCCGAGCAGTTTTCTAGTCGACTTGCGCACCTGCTCTCTGAGAATACTCATCAGCAACACGATATAAGGGAGCTATCGGACGGCATTTCAAACTGCCTACGTACAGCAACAGCAAACGAAACTATTGGATTTCGGACAGGTCGCAAAACCAGTTTGTACGATGAGCACTGCCTTGTCACGGTGGAAAGAAAATAGGCTGCTTACCTCACAACCTTGCGATCGAGCACAATCCTTGCGGGGTGAAACAGGTACCGAGAGCTGAAGAGAAAAGCAAGCCGCAATTGCAGAGAGAAAAGAAACAGCCCAAAATACGTGAGTACGATGAGCTTGAGATGCTGGCTGACAAGAGTAAAAAAACTGGTAATGGTGTATTAGAGATTCCAATTGTGAACGATGGAAAATTTCTCACGACTTCCGATCTTAATAAACTATATTCTGTAAGCGGTGCCAATGCCAATAAAGAAGAATAAGAGACTCCTTGTTGAGCGAGACGACTACTTGCCTTCTCGGCCAATCGCTGTTTAAGGTATGACTCTTTCAAATATATATTTGGTTTTGTATAAGACATTTGTACCCCGTTCTCCCCTATCTCTGATATTCAATTTTTAGAACACTTTTGGACGAATGTATCATACGTTTTTATAATATGTACTATTGTCGCTCAACAAGCCAAAGTACGGGACGTTAATTGCATTTTAGCTTAAATTCATTTAAGGGTCGCATTTAAATGCGTGAAATCCCTGCCTTTGTTATTCTATAAAAGTGTGTTAACCCACTTTTCAAAGCGAGTTAACTCACTTTCTCTCATTTAACTGAAAATATTATGTTATCAGTCGTGCATTTTTGAATTTAATGAGGGACGGGACTTTTACTCTGCATGGTGAGAATTTTTCTACAAAAATTTCCTTTTTGTATTAGTTTTAACATATTAAATAATTGGCGAAAAGAATGCTTCTCCTCTTTCAAGAAAAAAAAAATACTACAAGAGAGAATAAAAAGCAATTGTAATTGCAAACGATCTCCTCAACATAAAAATATGCGCGGCTGGGGCAGCAATCAGCTGATTGCGCAAAATAAATAACTTGAGATTGTTTGCTTTCTCAAACAGGTGATAATGTGGTCATTAAGTGGGTAATTTTTGATGAGGAGTGTAGCCTTGACTCTTGTTTTGTGCTTCAAGTGGTATAGCTTCTGCACTTCGGATAATTTTGGAGTGGTTTATGTGCACTGCTGTGAACATGTTCCTAAATGAGAGCCAATCTTCATATCCTCCATAGAAGACTTCTTTGTCACAGTAGTCGTAGGCCTCTGTGCATGATGAGCGTGTCTTCTCATTTTCCACGTTGCTCATCTGTAGGCCTTTCCAGATGGTCCTTGAAAATATTAGGCGCTGCTTCGGAGTGAGTCTATTCACAAGTGCTTCACCATTTACCTCAGAACTTTTCCATCCCGGATAGCACGTTTATAAATTTCTTGTGCGATTTCGAGCGAGTTCGGAGCCCTGTAAGGGCTGTAAGGAGAGGAGGATTTGGGATTTCTCTATTTTATCCTCCATTATAGGAAATTATATTTTGAATGTTAAATATAAAATATTTATTTATATTTATGTACATTATTTGAAATTAATTTATTTAGGGGGTGGCTTTTATATTGTATACTGTATTGTCTCAGCGCGTCTGAGCTCTCCAATGTATAAATGTATACTGGGTTTTTATTATACTTATTTGTATTACGGGTGCCTTAGCTTAGCTTATACGAGTATGTACGTATGTATACTTATGTGCATATGTATCTTTATTGTAAATAGCGAAGGAGTGTATATTGCCGGAATGCGAAAAAACACTTTATGTATATATGTGTATGTACAAAGGTTAAGTAGCGGTGACTTGCGATGGGGGTGTTACCTTTGGGCTGTACGCTGGTACGGGTCTGGGCCCGTTGGGATGGATTGGAGTGTATAAACCGCGAATATAAAAGTAAATACTTGAGAGGATATATGAGAGCGGACACTGGGCCGGTTCAGGTCCCACCTATGAATGTTCGGGATAAGGGGGCGTGTTGTCTTCAATGCAGTGCTGGTGTTCCTGTGTTGTTGACGTTTTGATTGTCTCCTCTTTCGTTTTCGGAGGTAGATATTTTCTTTGGAGCTTGTTCTTAATAAATTTTTGTAAAGCTTTCAATTAAAATTTTTATTATTTATTTTTGTATATGTTGTATGATAAATTTAATTTAAATTTAATTGGCAAAAATTTCAAAATTTTTATTTATTTTATATTTATTAGGATATATATGTTTCATGTATTCACATGTGTATTTATATAATTATGTGCACTCTTTATGATTATTTTTTATTTATTCACTTTGTGCGATCGCTTACCACACATGTATATATGAATGTAGGTATGTATGTATGTATGTATTTTTTTATGTTTTTATTTTATCTTATTGCACATCTTTGCACATTTGTTTTTATTTCTTTGTACGTTGGTATATGCCTACAACATTTTTTTCTCAGTTAGTTTTTTATGTGCTTATAATTTTTTTCCTGTTTCACTTATATTCTTTTAATTTTGTTACGTATTTATGTACATATGGTCTTGTTTATTTTTACATTTTTTTGCTTATTTAAATTATATTTTCACCAGCACATTTTTATAGGTACTATACATAGTTTGTAGTACTTTTCACAGTTTGTTACATATACAGCCTTGGCCATAAGTATTAGGCACTCCACTATAAAATTGGATGAGTGCATAAGTTCGCGCCCGATTCCGCTGGATGCCGTTCGAATCGTTTGAGAGTGGCGCCCGTGAAAGAAATATATACATATTATATATCGTTGGAAAAGTGACAGTCCGAAATGTAAATCAAGCATAAAATAACTTAATTTTGATTTTAGTTGCTTAGTGAAAAGACGCATTGAAGATGGACAACGAAAAAGATCATATGCGTCATATTATGTTATACGAATTCCGCAAAGGAAAAACAGAGGGCGCTGCAACTGAAGATATTCGCGAAGTTTATTTGGACCGTGCTCCAGCACTCCGCACAGTAAAGAAATGGTTCGCGAAATTTC